TATCAACCTGCAGCTCTCTTTAAGGCTGAAGCTGCGTCCCTGGTATTAATACATGGGCTCAACCAAGAGAATACACAGGTTGTTGAATCGATTCTGGGTTCTGGCTGACCGATTGTGGTAGTAATCGGGAACGGATCAACTGCCAGTGACATCTTGAAAGAGGTCTCCCGTCTTGCAAAACAAGTTCATCAGGCTGTTAGAGGACCTGGTTTCCAGTTGAAAAAGCTGGAAAATCATAAGAACACTTGGCAGCATTCAATGTTTCGTGTTCATCTTAACAGTTGAGTTGCTTTTTGAAGTTAAACCTTAAGCGGGTTGTTTTTCCTGATACACTGTGACTTTCTGCAGATTGAATGCGCTGGTAAAGATGGTAAGGTGGTATTCCAAGATGGATCAATTGTTGATGCAGATGTCATTATCCACTGTACTGGGATGTCCAAAAATAATTGAATCTATTCTTTCCTATACTTTTTTCCTGACAAACAAAATCTCTTGCAGGTACAAATACCATTTCCCATTTCTTAGATCAAATGGGATAATTACTGCGGAAAACAACCGTGTTGGACGTCTGTATAAATATGTTTTTCCACCAAGCTTAGCCCCTTGGCTTTCTTTCGTGGGACTACCTAACAGGGTAAACTTCTCTCTTCCATTTGTTTCGAATACTTCCGAAGCATTATATTCATGGCTAATCAATGTTTCTGAACAAGAAAACTGAACTTTCAAGTCCTGATGCTACGAGTCATCTATCTAATAGTTGATTACACAATCAGGCAGTGCCCACTTTGGTAATAGAATAACAAGCGAAATGGGTGGCAAAAGTTTTGTCTGGCAAGGTAGAACTGCCGACCCAAGAAGAGATGGCGATTTCTGTTCAAGAAGTTTAGCGTCAGATGGAGAAGACTGGATGGCCCGATCGTCAAACTCACAACCTTCAGCAGGACAAGGTTTCCACTTTTCCCAACCAAAATCCCTCTCTCTCTCTCTCTCCCTCTCTCTCTCCTCTTAACGTCTATATTGTTATGTTGATGGCAGTTTGACAGTGAAAATTGGCTTGTTGCTCAGTTGGACTTGAGGCCTCTGGACAAGTGGAGGGAATTATTGTTTTTCTCCATAAAGGACATTAGATCATTTTACGGCGACATGGGATGTTGACAAATCGATACAAGAGATAGATTCTTCCAATTAACTTCCACAGACGTTTTGTGCTGTCTTATTCTTATGCTAACCTTTTATCCTTTGAAGAGGCAATATTCCTTTTCCCCTTTTCTTCCTCAAGTTCCAACCAGTATAATGCTACAATCTGAGGAAGATGAGCTTCTTTGTCCCTCTCTATCTGTCTCTACTTATCTCACACACATCTAACAGCAAATATCAAGCAGGAGACAAGATAGAAACAGGGAGTACAGGAGAATTTTATCAGATATTATGCCAAAATACTCCCAGGGCAGTCACTGATAAACTATTTCTGGAAGCAGAGACGGGATGCTCCAACAAAGATCCCAATGTAGCAGTGTTGGAAAAATGCAAGCATCAGCTTTGTTCAAGCTGCTCAAAATACAAAATTATGAAGGAATGAAGGCATTACTCGTGGAGCTGCAAGGAAAAGGCAAATTCATTAAGAATATCTTAGTTTACATAAGCTTTTGCAACTATCTAACCACCACAGACTCAATTCACCTGTTCAAACTTGAGCAATCAATCATTTCACTATGATTAACACATTATCGGGGCTACGATTTTTACACACTAAAAGGCAAGGACCTAAAAGTCCGGGACAAAAAAAAAATTAAAACAAGGCAGCCAATTACTGCTTGCACCCAGATTTTTGAATAACAGATGGTTCCAACTGCAGTTCTTTCTAAACTCTCTTTATGAGATAGCCAATCAGGAATCCAAGAAAACCAAGTAGCACCACAAACGATAGAGAGAAGCCACCAGCACGACTTTTACTAATTTCTTTTCTCATCAGTTCCTGCATGATGAATGTGTTATGGCAAAGACGTAATGAGCATAAATGGGAATAAATTACAGTTATAAATTTATACAAAAGAGAATCAGTAAGAACAATGAGAACAGGAAGACTACAATGTGAAACACCAAAGCATAGCAGCATTCCCATAACAAGGGATTATATCAGAAAAATGAAGGGAGAGGTGGAGACAAACAAAAAGGATTAAAGGAGGAATATTTCATAATGTCCTACAGACATGGTTATGGAGGTGAGCAGAAAGCAGTAATAAGGAGCAATATTGACTGCAAAGCAGTCATTATGCCAAAGGCAACATTAAAATTTTGCTTTCATCTCTTCCCAAATTAAATTTCACCACTTTGGCATGCCCGGGGGGTTTGCAGGGTGGCGGCCTAAGGGTGCACTTTGGGGAAAATATGGGGTGCAGTGTGGTGGGAGGGCTCCCCACAGCATTGCACTGGTGTGCCATATGGCACATTAGAGTTGAAGTGAGACCAAACAGAATCAATGGAAACAGGACATTAAAAAAAGATGAACATAATATATCAGAGACCATGAAAGGTAACGATGATTGATACTCTCAGATGCATAAAATAATCAACACAAAGACATCTGCTAGTGTATGGTCATACCAGTTCTTGAAGTAGCCTCTTATTTTGCTGCAAAGCAGAAGATTTCTCGTCTGTCAACTTTGAGATCAGAGACCATGCCTGGAGATAAAAGTGCATTTAAAAAGAGTTTGATGGCATCTCAAACATAGAGCTAGTTTCACCTAATTAAATACATCTCAACCATAATGATTAATAAAATCATTAATGCACGTAAAAATATCAGACATGTCAGGATATCACAAAACTGCATGGGTTATGAATTAATTTTCTAATAAAGTTTAATTACCTTCAGCATTAAGGAGATAAATATCATGAGAAGGTAGAGAAACTTTAATCCCCTACATATGTACCCTTCTTTATTCTTTTGGCAGGATTTTATTGTCTTTTATCACTACACACTTGAAGAATACCTTGAACATCTATTAGTCGCAGTGAGAAGATAATTCCGGAGGAGTCTACACCAGGTTATTATAAGTGTAATTGGCATAAAGCAAAGAGTAAAACAATAACCTTCACTGCCTACATATTGAAATGCATATTTCATATTCTGAAAACAATAAGGAGATTAGAGGAGTGGGAAATGTGAAGGAACCTAAGCAGTCTCAGAGATTGCAACCATGAACCCAGATAGAGTGCTAATTATTAAGATGAAATGCTTATTTATAGAAAAAGTTTGATATTAACAAAGCAACAGAGAGATGAAATACCTCTGAGGACTTTTCTTTTGTCTCCTCTAAAGATCTTGATACCTAAATTTTGGTATTAAGTTGAGCAACAAAAGAACACAAAGTATATCACTAATGGGTAATGCCATTCTCCATTAATAGTTGATAAAGGCAAGGGAAAAAGAAGAGATAATATTTTCTTTCCTGCCAGCTAAGACACTTACATCCTCATATGATGAAACATTTTGGTTCCCATTTTCTTGCATAGATGCTCTGGGAGGAGTCCCCTCCTCAGATCCTTCAGGAACAGGAGAGGGGGGATTAGCAGGAATGTAAATGACCCGCAATTTGAATTCCTCCACAACCCGACCATTTTCCTTGTTAAACTGCATTCCAAACCGTGCCAATTTACATCCAACCAACATAGAGCAGAAACCACAAAGTTGACAAAAGAAACAACAGAGGCATAGCCACCATACCATTTCTGAAGTTATGTCCTTGTTAGCTGTACCCTCTGGAGCAACCACACTCTGGAGGAGGAACTTGTCCCTGCACTGCATGTCAGGAGGTGCCTCCTTTTGAGCTTGCATCGTAACTGCAAGGGTTAATTTCATATCAATAAACCATAAAGAAATAAAAGAAATAAGGTACATTCAAAGACATAAAATCAAATAAAACAATTAAACGCAAATGAGTTAGCTGCCGCAGGGATCAAAAGCATAAACTATGATAAAGAAACAACTCTCGTTAAAACTTAATAAATTACAGAACACTTACCAGTGACATTACATGTACTTCCAGGCATAACAACACCAGTGTTGGGACGGACACAATATTTCTTGGGGTTGGTTGTTTTAACCTGTTGAAGAGTGTTAAAAGGGGAAAATTTCATATCATACAAACATCTCAATCTAAAATCCAATCACAATAAAATGAAATGAAACAATCAAGTACCTTGAAGGCAACATATTTTTCGGTCTTGTTGGTCAATTGCATAGAACATGTGCTTTGCTTCCTCAATTCAACTTTGAAATAACAAGCCACGTATTCCATAGAAGAAAATTTAACCCAAAACAAATAAATAAAACATTTCAATTTAAAATTCAAAAAAAAAACTAACGTCTTCCTTAAACAGATTAAAACCTAAATACTTCTGTTCATTTATGCCTAGGTTTCAAATTTACTAAATCTAGTATCATTCTTCCTATTTATCTCAAATTAGGGAATATGATGAAACAAATAAAGTAAGTCAACCAAATTATATTTGCATCAAAATGAACAAACTTTCGTTTGGCATGATCGAAGTGATCTTCACGAAACTAATACATCAGATCGACGTTCCAAACATTCCTTATTTCGTTTCCTTTATTTCGCTTGTTGATGCTTTAATACCGAACTTAAAGGAAACAAAGCATCAAACTGGAAAAGGAAATGCAGGTGAGAAGCAACTTACATGGGAATTTAAGCTCTGTTGGTTGAATATTGATAAGATCCCCCGTACTCATGGCTCCTTATCAACAAATTTACAAAAAGAAAACCAAATTCTCTTAGGAAAGGGAAGATAAAAACAAAATTAGAGATTGTGGGGAAAAGGAAATGCTGGAATCTGCGGAGATCGTGAAGAAAGAAAGGGCAGGAGGAAGCAGTTTCAAAGGTACTTTTCTTTATCATTTTTCTTTATTTCCTTAAAAATATACTAATTTCACTCGGGGGTGATGTCTGTGACCGTTCTTAACCGTCGATTATGATAGTGTGCGTACCCCTATAATGTTTAGAGTTAAACAACCAGACCAAGGGTAGAAAATGAATTTCAAGAACAGAGAGATGAAATTGTGGGAATTTTGAGTTTTTGGGCCCATGCTATAATTATTGGTTCTATACTATTTTAATTTTTTCTCAAAAACAGAAATTCAATCCTTTTTTCGAGAAAAATAATTAATGTAATGAAGGCCAATTGGACTTATTATCTTATTATAGTGTCTAAAATCTCAATTATCAGTGCATAAGATAAATTTCTTAAAAATTAATATGAAGTCACTCTGATATCTTATGCATGATATATATAAATCAATTAAAATTCACTCTTTTTTAGATTACATTAAATAAAAAAAATTCTTACATAGATTTTTTAGATACTAATAGTTTTTTAATAATTTTTTAAAAATTAAGAAATCATTTCAATATCTAATCATAATCTAAATAAATCAATTCAAAATTTACTCTTCTTTGATTACATTAAATAGTAAAAACTCTTATATTTTTATCCTTAACTAGCCAACCACTAACACACGACTGGTAGTATGCTTAATGACAATAATGGTTACTATTAATAAAATTTTATGTAATATGTATTGATAATGCTAACATTTTCGTGTTGTCTTAACATCCTTTTTCAAATTTTCATCAAACAACCACTGGAATTTTACAATATTATCTTACTACTTTTCTATATGTAAAATCTAATACTAGTGAGCTTATCTAGCAAATAGTAAATTAAGCAATCACAAAATCACAATCTCACATGCCATTTGTTCATGCAAAATAAAGAAAATTATGGCACAATTAACTTTGGTAAATTCATGACTAAGGGTGAACAAATTCAAATATGACCAATTACTCATCAAAATCAAATATAATTTGGGTATAGTTTGGTGTAATTAGTCTTTTTGATCAATTGATTCAAAATGTTTGATTCAATTGATTTTTTTGTTGGTTCTTGGTTTTAAAATTTTTGAACCAATCCATCCAAAAAATCAAACTAAATTTTTTATATTATATATATTAATATATAAATTTTTTTATATATATTAAGAAGAATTGATAGTAAATTTTTTTTGAAAAGAAAATTGATAGTAAGGTTAATTCATAATTACTTAAAATGTATTAGTTTATTATATGTACGTATTTGAATTATAATCATAGTAATTTAATATTAGTTTTATTTATTTATTTATAAATTTATGTTAATATAAAATTATAAATTATATATTTTAAATTATATAACGTATATGTTAATATTATAATATATGATTGTAAATATTTTACATATTAATATGTAAGAATTACTACACAGTAGTAATGTTTCAGAATATAAAATGTTATGGATATATATAATTGTGTAAATATATAATATATACATATATTTAATTTATACATAAACATTGTTACAACTTATAATAAACTTTATTTGTATAATTACATTTAATAGTTTTATTAGTTAGCACCTTACTTTTTATAACATATTGTTTATAATTAGTTATTATTTATACAAATTTTGATATAGAATATAATAATATATAAATTGTGTCATTAATTTCATATATATATAATAAAATAATATATTATATATATTTAATTTATACATAAGTATTACTATAACTTATAATAAACTTTATTTGTATAATTATATTCAATAATTTTATTAGTTATCACCTGAATTTTTTTAACATATTGTTTATAATTAGTTATTATTTATACAAACTTTAATATAAAAATTAAAATATTATAACATATAAGTTGTCTCATTAATTTCATATATATATAATAAAGTAATACATATAAATATATACTATATAAAATTAACATATTACTTATACTTATTATAAATAAGTAATTAATACTTTACAAAATAATAAATTTAAATAATAATTAATAAACAATATATTATAAATAAAGAACAACATAATATTGGTTTTGTTTACAATTTAATAATATTAAAAATATTATATTGTACATTACTATCTAATATATTATCAATATCTAAAGATATTATTATTAATAATATTTATTATATAGTAAAGTTTAATATAAATATATTAAAGTTTATTATTATTAATAATTTTTCATTTATTAATAAGATATAAGCTTTACTTAATGGTCTTGTGTTAGTTTTATTTTGTGAATGTTAATTTTATTATTTTTAATTTTTTTGTTATGTTAAATCTTGAATGTTAATTTAATGATTTATATAAAAAGACATAATTATGTAAGTGAAAGAACAAATGTATGTTTTTTTTATATATTTACATATTTGTATATTTAGTAATTATGGATTAAGTTTATACGTTTTAATGTTATAATTTATAAAAAAAGGTGATAACATTTTGGTTCATTAGTCCAAAACTAAATCGATTGAACAAATTCTATATTTGATTATTTTTTAAATGCTTAGTTCATTTGGTTTTTAAATATGACGAATCAAACCATTCAATCTACTTATTTGCTCATCCGACATACAAATACATTTTTGTAATTTCAAAATGATTCATTCTCTTTGTCCCTCCATTAAATGTTGCATTGAAATATGATAAATTCTTAACATAAGTTAAGCGATTAAGTAAATGAGTCACGAATTATATAAATATAAGATAAAATGATTAATTAAATACGTCTTAAGTAAATTTTAAATAAATTAAGCAAGTTTAGTATTTTTTTAAAATTAAGTTTAGTATATTTAAGATATAAAATTTTTTTATTTTTACCGTATCGGTAAAAGAAATCATAAAATACAATTATTCTAAATCTAAACCTACTTAATTTCGAGTCGACTTTATATCATATTATAGTGTGTCATATTTATAAAATGCATCCAATAATTGACAAATGAATATGAAAAAATATCATAAATAAGTTAAGTTTGATGCACTAAATTTTTTTTCTTTCATTATTGACTTCATGGTGAAAATTCAATGCACTAAAATTCCATGAAACATGATGAAAAATTATGCATGGTGCTCATGCTTTTTTCCATTTTTGAAGGAGTTTGTTATTCTAATATTTAAATCATGCGCTTGCTTTATCTCTTTTTGATTGCCAAAGCTACTTTTATTTTATTTTATTTTTTTGAAAAGCAGATCGGTGATTTCACAATTAATCCATGCTCATGTAGCTTGTCAACGTCAATTATCACCCTGTCATCAAAACAATCCCGTCCGTACGCGGCGAATCAATGCTCCTTTGGACCGTTCGCCACCACCAGCTGTCCCACACTTCACGAATTCCCCATTTTACCCTTCTCACCTCTGACGCCATCACTTTCACTGCACCAGCACACCCTACCAGTAAACTTCCCCACTCTCCATCTCACTCTTTGAACAAGGACCCATGTCTCTCGCTGGCGCACTCGACCTTTTCGATCATTCGCCGTCCCTTTTCTCTCTGTTTTGCGAAGAGCCGGAGCTTTCATTCCCCTTTGATGTCTTTGAGCCAACTCCCGTCCTCCCTGGTTTATTTCTTTCACCTTTTGATCAGGCTTTTGATGCTGTTACAGATGTGACCCGCCTCTTGGAAACGCCGTTTTCGTCGCGTTATCGGAGGATCGGAGCTACAGATGAGTTGGAACTGTGTTCCGGGGCTTTACTTGATCGGATTTCTGGTTTGGAGTTCGGTACTGACCGGTTTAAGCAATGGGATAGGAAGTACAGGTGGAAGGCTGAGATAAAGAGTTCGGATAAGAGTGAAGCAAACCGGAAGTACCAATATACGGCTGAGATCAAGGGTTCGGGGGGGAGGAAGTACGAGTGGACGGCTGAGATTGAGAGTCCGGAGAAGAATGGGACTGATAGGAAGTACAAGTGGACGGCTGAGATGATCAAGGGAGGGAACGTGGGAAACGTTGAGAAGAAGAAACAATGCAAGGTTGAGATTCAAGGTACGCAGAAGAAGGAAGTGCCACTCAAGATTAAGGTGTTGGGATCCCAAGCGGTAGGTAAGGAGGAGACAAAAGGAGAGTGTTCGGTGCGTGTGGTGGAGATCGAAGAGCCTGCAGATCATGCGGCCATGCTTCTCAGACAAGTAGGTGTTCACTTTTCAAACTTCACGCCTCTCCGTTCGACTGTTTCTTGTCTTCTTGATCAAAGCCACACGTGAACGTTGAGAAAAACCCACTTTGTCTGGGATTTTCACAACTCAAACATCATATTTTTGGAGGTTTTAATTTTTAAACAAGTAGACTATAATGCCATTGAAACTATGTCAATAGCTGTTGGCTTTTGCTGAAATTGAATGTATTTGTGAAACGTGAAAGGCTTTCGGGAGGAGAGCTGGAGCAGTGGCCAGATTAAGAGGGAAAAGGAAGGTATTATCACCGGACGAAGCGGCGCTGGTGATAGAGAGGACCTTCAGGGCGTATGTCATCCGTCGGTCAAAGGCTTTACGATCTTTGCGAGAGCTGGCCGTGGCAAAGGCTAAGTTGAAGGAAATCAGGGCATTGTTTAATAACTACTCTTACAGGCAGAACATTGCCCGCGATGCCGAGGAGCGCCAGCGCTTCTCTGAGCGTATTATCGCCCTTGTCCTTACTGTTGATGCTATTCAGGTAGTATCGTTCTGCTTTTGCTTCGCAATCCACGTTAAATTCTGTTCTGATTTTGTTGTTTCGTTTGCTTAAACATATGATCAAGAAAATGTTAAACATGTCTATATCCTATTGTCATTCATAATATTGATTACATTTGGATATTGGCATGGGATATACCTTTTAATTCAATTGACACTGTGGATTGATATTGTAGTCTTGGTAACAAGGCCGGACTCTTTATTATAGTTGTAGTCGAAGTCAACAGTCCTTTCTGTAATCTTGTTATTGAACTGTGCAGTGTAAGTTCAATTTTGTTAGTTTAGATAACAGGTTCCTGAACTAGATTTCTCTTGATATCAGGGCTCTTGTTTTTGTTATGTAAAGGAATTTTCACCAACATTCTCCTCGCTAAAAATTTGCACTAGTTCTTGTATTGATATTACATGAATGTCCTACATGTTGTAAATTGAATGAAGATAAGAGAATTCAGAGTTCTATAGTTTCAACTTGTTATACTTTGTTCTTTAAGATTCTGTTTTGGTTTCATGCTTCGTACTTGTTCTGTATTTAGGGTGGTGATCTTATGGTTCGAGGTGCAAGAAGGTCCATGCTGGACGAGCTGGAAGCAATGCTAGATGCTGTCGACCCCCATCCTTCTGGTAAACTGGGTTTGTTAAAGTGGCAAGCAGTTTGATCTGCCTGAAATTGCAGGAGTGGCAGAGGGTTTTATATGCTTGATCAAGCAGAGAAGCATGACAATAATGCCTTTGAAGTGTGTTTATGATCTTTGAAGTTTGCTTTTCTATCTGGTGAACGCTTTGCTGATCTAAAAATAGTCCTTGTGTCGATGGTGTAAAGGATAAATGGCACTGGAACTTCCCAGTGATCTTTTATTCGTAGCATGGTAGCATCTGCAGTTCTGTTTTGTATATGGACTAGTCTATGAAACTTTCTTCTATAATCTATGTTATTTTGTGTGTTCCTCCCCTTTTCACCCCAATGGTGTTTTCTGTCCTAGAATAGTTGGAGAACGTCGGAAGTGGAGCTGCAAGTCAAACGCAAGGCCAAATATGAGGCAGAAAAGTATAATAATGCCTTCAAGACTCACTTGATTGTCTATGTTTTGTGGATTGTGAAATGGTCGATCAATTTATACTTGCTGCGGGGAATTGATTTAGCGGACAGAATATATATGGTGATGGTTGTCTTTGTATGTGTAGCCTGGTCATTCCTGGTTCTCACCAAGCGCTTTTCAGCCAGTGCGTAGCAGTTCCCTCACCCCAAATTTTTAAATTCTTGAAGTGGGCAAAGTTGGATGAGGCTTTAGACCAACACGGTGGCTGGACCCCAGCCCTGCTGCATATCCACCCCCCAAGTGGTATGGGGAATCCATAGAGGCCAAGCCCAAGGTCCCAAGCCTTTAGTTTTCAGTCGTGAGCAACTGATTTAGCCAGGAGCAGATATTTGACTGATGGCTAACATTTATCAACAATGGAACTATCCATGCTATTATTATTATTCTAATGGCTTTGTCCAGTCTCTACCCGGCGTTGGTGGAACCATCGGTTTTTTTTGGTTTTTACCAGGCATCAAAGTTAAAATGACTGCAGAATCTTTCACCAGAAAGGTAAAAATATAGAGGAGGAAAACAAGGAGGGTGACACAGCGGGCCAGGCAAGAGCCTGCAGTCGAAGAATTTGGGCTCTACATACAATTACAGAGAAGTTAAAAGCGTGTAAGAAAATGGTGAACGCATTTATCCTACATTGGTCCATGGTCTATACACGGCAGCCGATGCGAATGCAACCTTACTGTAATTTCTGGACCCATATTAGATTGTGTGAATAAAATGAAAATCGACTTGTATCTTCATTCCTTTTCCTGTCAGAGATTTTGAACAATCAACAGCACCAGGCAATGGCATTACAAAGCCAGGAAGAAGCACATAAATCTAGCTACAAGTGACATCGATGGCGATTAACTGCGTCTACTTATTACCACTTATGCAAAACCTAGAGCTGGAGGAGCATGTCGTGGTCCCATTTTTTACTTTTCTTATGCTAAAAGTCCAGGCGTCGTGACGCTAATAATTTTTTTGCTTCTTTAAATACAAACGTCGGTATGCTTCAAAGCTATTCTGAAGGCAACAACTTATATTCATGTGGAGACATGACAAAAGGCCAAATGCATATCCTGATACGTGGCAGAAACCCACAGCAGGGAGGATCAGTAAATGCCGAACACTTGTCCTAGCATCAGGTGACCCAATTTTTTCTATCGACCTTTCAGTTTCCAAAGGGATATTTCTCTCATCCTCAACGGACCTTAAAAGAACTTAGTTAAAAAATATTTGGATTCCCTAGCTCCACCTGTTCACAGTTCATCTCATTCGATTATATTTTAACGAAACCAGCCATGAAGGTTGTAGATGTGAGAGAAAATACAAGGAAAGACATTTTGGGGAAGGAGAAATAAATGCGAACCCCCAAGCTATTCTATATTGTCTCGTCTGTCCATTTTGATACTGGAAATAGCGAAAAGAAACATGGATAGTGTTGCAAGAAGGGTCAAATGGAATTTTGAAGAAAACACATCAGGAAGGGAACTGCTGGACACCTAACAACCAAAAGATTAGGTTTGCCCCAGATGAAGCATTGAATGACACTCACCACTCAGAATCCAAATAATCAATGTCTTCCTCCAAACCCATTATTTCTTGAAACTGTCCAAGTGCTTTTCTTCATAAAAGGATTGGCAATTTGGCATCCTACTCCCTTGTCCACCAGGCTCATTCTCATTCCCTCCCCCCACAACTTGCTCTCCTGTGCGATGAGAATTGGCATTATCTTAGGTGTAGATCTTAAATAGAAGAGTCAGCAATTAAAAGCTTTCTTTCCAACCCTTTTAGAAAAGAGGGAGAATAAAAGGAAAAGCTTTGACACAACCGAAAAGACCACAGAACCAAAAAGCCAAAAGTGTCTAAGCTGGCTGATACTATTACACTGTCAAAGCTACAATTTTCCTGCAAAATTATGAAAAGAAACCGCTTTTGGTTCTGATTTTTCAATATACCCAATAATTAAAAGGAAGAGAATCAAGGCAAAAACTTGGTGTTCTCTTCCCTGTTTAAGCAGAACTGATAAGGAGAGTGGTTTACACGTATCTCAAAGTAGCATAATTTTAAACATATAAGTACAAAGATATCCCCTAACTAAAGTATATTATCACTAAATTAATGTCACAAGTTCCAACCAAGATTGAAATGCAAAATCAGCATTAGACTAGTCAAGACTCAAAAAGGGTTTTCTTTTTCTCAAATGAAGAGAGCCATTGGGGAAAGGAAAACAGTAAATAATTCTATGGACATTGGCTTATTTGCCTTCCAATTTTGTCCCTATCCTGTCCAGGGAAAAATGGAAAGCGAAGGAAGAAAACAAACAGAAAGAGACACATCTGGGATTTCCAATTGCAATCACCCCATCAAGATTGGCCATCAATCATTCAATTATATGGAAATTGATTAACTTTCATTCTCCAATTCAAGCTCAGATACTCAAACAGGATTTTGTACAGTGCTAAAATAAAATTGTAAAGCATAAATACAGATAATTGGGAATATAAATATTATATATAACCCCATAGAAGAAAAAGAGGGGATAATGCAATAATACAGCACTTTCTGTCAGTATTACTCACTATAACTATGTAAAAAGGGAAAAAAATTGAGGATGAATATTTTGCAATGGGAGAGGAGAGTGTGTACATGAACAAAATTGGGAGATGTTTTCATCCCTAAATTGTCTGGAATGAGAATATAAAATACCAACAATGCCCCAATCTCCCTTACCTCTCTCTCTCTTCCCCAGGACAACAAATTCAATACAGTGGAGCCCGGTGTGGAGTTTTCTTTCTCCGGTTCATCAAACTTCCCGAAACTTCGGATGCTGGAGGACATGTCGGACGACATACAGTCAAGCTACTCCTCTTCTTTTTCACAATCTCTGTCGTGGCAGTGCAAGCAACTGCCCTGCACCACACTTCACCATATCCACCAGACCCGGAAGACGTCTTGGTCGAACCAGACGGCTCAAGGACGGAGTCAGGTGTTACCAGACCATCATCCAGACCCGCCTCAGGTAAAGGCAAAAAATTGCACTCAAACAGGAACTTGGAAAGCCCATCTTCTGTTCTTAACAGATAATTGATCTGCAACACATGGTGAAATGATTGAGATATAGTGAGGACGCAGACGTGCAAAAGTGGACAAGAAAAGAGTGGGAGATGGTGGTTATGGAGTTAGGGGAATAAAAAGGAGAGAAAAAAAAAAAAGAAGGCACCTTGCAGGAGAGAGAGCAAAAGAGATAAGGGTCTTGCAGGCTTCTGTCGCAGGTGCTGCAGAAGTTGCCGGAGCCTCTGAACTGCCTTGTCTGCGGCCTTTGGTTTATAAAAATCACTTTCGCACTGTTTGTTATGTATGACTAATGAAAGAGAAAGAGAGAGAGAGAGAGAGGGAGAGGCAGTGAGTATCATTGAAGAATAACAAAATAGTTTGCAGCGTATGGAGCATGGGGGACTCCTTTCAGAATTCAGACAATGCTTTTCTGAAAATCTCAGCTCTTTTTATTGAACAGTGTTATATTATCTGGTGGTTAAATGGACAGTAGATAATTGAAACAAGCCAAAAAAAATACTTTACATAATTTGAATTTCAAGCAAGGACATTGTTTGTCGTTTGGAAGAAATGCACACAGTAAATAAATATCCAAGGTTAATTAAATTAGCCCAAAGGGTGTTTTTCCAAAGAAAAGCACAGGGAATTAATTCAAATATGCTTTTCCAATGTCTCTTCTTTTCCTCCAAGGTTGTTTGTTTCAAGTTGAATTAAGGAGCAAGAATTATGACTTACTTGGACAAAGGAACAGTCCATTAGTTTTGTTGCATCATCCAACCTTATAACATCGTGATAGACATACCGTCTTATCTGAAACATGACATGGAAAGTTAAAACTTGAAATCATGCATCATCAAGAATTGGAAAGAAAAAGTAATGGATTTTGAGATACTGTTCAGGTGAATTTTGAAGAGGGTGGGGGGAACCTGTAAGAGCCTGTGAGAGCTGTGAGGAGACAAGCAGTGAGGGCATATACTGATGCAACAGTCCAAGCAATAGATATTCTTCTCGTTTTTCTTGGCATCTTCATGAATTATACAAGCATTGAAGAATTTCTCAGAAAGAAGAACTTGAAGCCAACGAGGTAGATGTGAAGAAAACAACTGGAAACCAACATGTACAAGACAACGTAATCCAATTAGCTTTCACAGGTAACAAGAGAGAGAGAAAGCACAGAAGAAAAAGTTTAAAATGAGAAAAAGGAAACACTTACCATGGTTTTCTTGTTTGAATTCTTGAGAGAGAGATTGGTCAGGACTTATGAAGATACTGGTGGACTAACCATTATTGCAGAGAGAGGAGAGGAGAGTGCAAGAAAAGAGAAACGGCGCCTGGCGACTGCTACTGGGCTGGTGTTACTGTTACCAATGAAAAAACAGGAAAGAGACTGAGAGAGAAAGAAAGGGAAAGAGAGCGAGACGTTGGCCTCATTTAAAGAGGTGCTCTGTCTTTCTTGTGTATTTGTACGTCATTGTAGTCTACTCCACTGTAAAGCAGGATTACAAAGATATGGATATTTTAATTACAGGGATTGGAAAACGGGTAGGCCAGGACTAAAAAGCAAAGGGCTGGAAATTAAAAGGAAAGAAAGTAATAGAATAGTGATGAAAAAATCAACTCAAAGATCAAAACTTTCTTCTTCCATTGCTGTTTACTAAGAGCCCTTGTCCCGAAAACCCTAAAACCCAAACCATTTGGTTCTTTGTGAATGGTTTTGGGTTACTGCCATTCTCTCTCTCTGTCTCTCTCCCCTTTGCTAAGTGCAAAATGACAAGACCAAGAACAGTGACTTTTCTCAGTTCTCGGTGGAAAACGGTAAAAGA